CCCCCCAAAAAAAAAAAAAAAACAGTGGCCTATGCAGTGCGACGCGCGCCTGCATTGAAGCCCGTCTCCTGCCTTCCATTGGGGATCAGCGCCTCGTCGCCAAGGAGAGAGGTGTGTTTTCCATAAAGGAGAGCTTTGCGCGGCACCCGGTTTGCGCGGCGGTACTTGCCTGGCCTGGCCCAGCTTCACGAAGAAGTCCAGCAGCGCATCGTTCAAGTCCTCGCCGTCCTCTGCAAAGGACCAATGAGAAGGACCAAGAGAAGCCAAAGACCCGAAGTCGGAGGAAGAAGCGGGAGAGGTGCGGCTGGAGGCTGCGGCTTTTGGTCCTCCAGGCGTTTCACGTCGTGGACCAGGTGGACGGAAGCACGCTGAAAGTTGAGCTCCACGCCTCGAGACTCCGGGGGGAACCAGTCGCGAAGCCCCACTACCAGGCATCCCAACACGGATGAGCAGCTAAAAAACCGGGGAAGTCAAAAGACGCCGTGATGGATGCTCACAGGTCCGACGTCCCGGGAGCCGCGGCAGATCTTCACGGTGTTCACTCTTGTCGCGCTGAAGATGTGAAGGCCCCACACGGGCAACTATCACCACAAGGATGGCGGCCCCGATCGACACGCCCGATCCCCGTGAACGCACTCGATTCCCTTACCCAAACGACCTTTAAGCCAAGGATTGTCTGAGTCCAGTACCCGTCGTTTCGGACATCACCTGGCAAGACCACACCAAGTCAAGAAATCTGGTCATGTTGGCTGGCTTGGCCTGCAGGGGAATTGTCAGCACATGGCCGACCACAGGAGGCCCCCCCTTAGCAGCGACCTTCAACTCTCTTGTTTGCAGCACCATGTTGGCTTGGTGACATCTCCTTTTTCGAATAACAAGGCTTGCTTCTTCTTGCTCTTAGGGTCCCTATGATTTGGCCGCCTGGACATTGAGCACTAGTAACACTTCAGCCACGCACAGGCAAAAAGCAAACATGCTCAAACAAGCTAGCAGGGTGGGAGGGAGGTTGCGACGGATTCAAACCTACCACAAGAACATGAAACCGCGTGTGATGCATGCTGCATGCAAACGAGTTAAAAGGCGATTCTTAAACCAAAATCATGCAAGCATGAGTGGAAACTTACGATTTGCCCTCTCCTCCCCTTCCCTCCCCTCCCACAGGCAAAGCTGCAAAGTTGCCAGGTGGAAACTGATCATGCGCCATTGGCATAAAAGAGATGCGCAGGAGGATAGGGAGTTGCCGGCAAATGGTGGGGCAAAAAACAGACTCGAGCGGTGTTTCTGTGCCGCAAAAGCAGTGTAACCAAGTCAACAAGGCAGGAGAAGCTAGAACATTACGGGGAAAGCCAGACAACAACCAACGAAACGCAACCCAACAAATCGCGGAGAGCTCAACTGCACTGGCGAAACTGCTCAAGCACTGGCACAGCATCCCTCACTGCCTGAAGCCTGCCTAAGTCTAAGTTGCGTTGCGTGAACCCTCAACCCCGCCGTTTCCGAAATGTCATCAAACTACAAACCGACGTTGTCACGCTCAGCACAGCTCCAGAAGTTTGCAAAGTTGATGATCGCGATGAAGCTCACTTTGAGCACATGTCACCCTACCGCTGTGATCCCGATGGATGATGGATTTCAGATTGGCAGCGTTGGCGTTATCATCCGCTATCGCGGGCTTGGCCTTTTGGGAATTCCAGAACAACTCACACACCAGCTCGGAACGAATGACTGCGATGGACGACCGGCAGGACGAGCACGTCATTATGGAAACAATGGACGGCGCCTGGCACAGCAAGTATTCTGGTTGAAATTACGCTCATCAGACCTCATATCCTGGCATCTTGACCGAGGGTTCGTTGCACCATCAAGTGCCCCTGGTGCCCTGCAGTAAGTTCTCGGTCTCACTCCATGGTCGCCATGTGCAGGCGTGCACACACACACGCACACACACTCCCACTCACTCGCACACGCACACGCACACGCACACGCACACGCACACGCACACCCACACGCACACGCACTGACACACACACACACACACAACTACGGCGGTCCCCTCCGCTGCTCGCAGTTCGCGGCCCTGTTAGTTGATGGACTCTCTCCGCGGATGCTGCTGTGGTATTTTGCAGTCCGATGCTTGCTTCCTTCTTGGAGGGTCGATGCTGCAGAGTGCGCCGCCAGCCCCACCCCTGCGAGTGGGGCACAAGGTTGTGAAGCAAGATATCCAAACTCCAATGGTTCCTTATGATTCCTCCCTGTCTTTATAGTTTGCGACAGACACACATGTCTGGTGACCAGTCAAGCTTTGTTGCGCGATGTGTGGCTCCCAGCACGTCTGCGGCATACGCCTTTTCGTTTGCCGCGAGCTCTCCAGCCAAGGTTAGATGGTGACGGCCACGGCGAAATGCCGGAGGCCAGCACTTCTCCGCGTAGCCCGCTGCCCGTTGCTGACTCGACGAGCCTGAAAGGTCCCTTTTAAGGAAGCCTCCTGAATGTTGCTCCATGCTGCTCCGTGCTGCTTCATTACTGAAGGGTGTGGCAGAGGCCCTGTCGACACAAGCCGCACGCATGTCTAGACGAAAAAAGGCCGGGTCAAGAGGCGTCATAGGCATTCTGATTCTACCATCTTTTGCCAGGTTCTGAGAGCTACTCGAGTTCGAGGAGCCGAGCCTACATTGCCGAGGGGAAACAACATGAGGGGTCGAGTTGATTGCCTATGACGCTTCGCTAGTGGCCACGGCTGATGACAGCTGTGCGGCAAGGCCCAGCGACCAAAACCAAGAGGCTTGGCCGGTGGCGGTGAAATCAAGGAGCTCAACGCTTTTGCTGATCGCTTTGCAATAGAAAACATAGCTGGCAAATCCGCGGAACGAGCAGGCACTGGCTGCGGCTCTTCTGTCTGCGTGGGGGGCTTGTGACTTCCTGACTTCCGGGGGAAATGAGGAGGAAAGCAACAGCCAGGCCTGTGAAAGCTACAGTAGGCTTCTCAGAAGAAGCCCTGTCGTTGTCCCCAGGGTTCGGGAAACCTCTCAGCTTTGGGAGCAGCCCGCTTCGTCCTGTAACCAGAGCCCGTGCTTCCCATGCAGGAAAAAACTCAGGACGTGCTTCCCCCCCCCCCCCCCCCCGCCCTCTCCTCGGCCTCCCCTTCAGCTGGGGCGCTCTTCGGGACCGCCTCCGCCTTGGGCGCCGGCGCCTTCAGGGGGAAAAAGGCACTCGTGGATGGCGCAGGAAGCTTTCGGCACTTTGCCCCCCAGGCCTCTGCGGGGACGCCCGCCGCTGGGGCGTTCGGAGCGGGGCTCGGACTCGGGGCGCTGGGCTTCTTCGGCACCACCAGCCCTGCGGCACTCGGGGCCGCCGGGCGCTGCTTCGGCGAAGCCTCCCAAAAAAGCTCCGCCCAAAGCCCAAAACACACCGCATCCGCTCCGCGATGCTCCGCGATGCTCCGCGATGCTCCACGATGCGTCGCCTGTGGCTTCGGAGCCGGAGCGGACTTCGGCGCTGACGCCTTCGAGGCCTCCACAGAGTTTCCGACAAAAAATTTGAGGAAAAAGCGCGCGCGGATCGCCTTGGCCGCGGCCGGGGCGCCTGGGGTCTTGGGAACCGCCTGAAGCAGGGCCAGAAAAGCCGAGAGCGCGAAGCTAAGCGGCGCCAAGAGGAGGCTCGCCTTGGCCGCCTGGAGCTTCGCCTGGGCCGCTGCCTGCAGGGCGGCAGTGGCAAGGCGCCATGGCGCATTCATGCGTTCCTCCGACCGGGCCTTGACGACGGTGGCCATATTCCGTGCAGCTTGCGATGTCGCGAGCCTGCGCAAGAAGGGGCGCTCGCACTCAAGCGCAAGACTCAAGCGACCAACATTGAGAAGACAACACTTCGCAAGCATCTTGGCACTCTTTGTCTGCTGTGGCCGAGGGCTCCCGGACTCGGCAGCGCATGCTGCAGGAACCTGCCAAGCCAAGAACCACAAAAAGACGAGCACAACACTACCGGACCAAGTGCACACATCGCAAGCCTAGGGCTTAAAGGCGGGTGCCGGCAACGCAGCCACGCCTCGAACCGGCATCGCCGCCGGCATCTCCGCCGGCTTCGCAGAGCTTCAGCTTTGGCTCAGGGTCAGTGCGAGGAGGCCACACGGGCATAGGCCAGGGAGGACCTGCAGGAAACCAAGAAAGCAAGTGTCTCCAGAGCAGAGGCATTAACGGTATTATCTGCATTGCTTGCCCAAGCGGCCCCACCACCATCAGTGCCGAACAGTTCAGACGGCAGCTCGATCTGGGCTGCTTGTCACCGGCCTCAAAGGGCTGCGCATCGCTGCGCGAAGCCTTTACCTTTAAGCGCCCCGAGGCGGCCAGGCAGCATAGGTTAGGGACATGAAGTAAATGATCGCCACACCTTGGACATGGAGGGATTCTGAGATTCAAGAGAGCGGCGGAGTTGCAACTGAGATGCAGAATGCCTTCATGATGGACTTCGTCAGCGCCGAGAACTCTTGCAAGAGCCAGTTGCTTGCAGTGGCGTCCAGCATCAGCATCACCACAATGGCAACCTCGGAAAGACAGAGGCCGAAGGCAGAGCGCAGCTTTGAGAGCCCCCCCCCGTTCCCCACCGTTCGCCGATCCCAGGAGTCGAAGAGGCAGCCGGGGCGGCGCTGACGGTCGAAGACGTTCTCCTCCGCGTCCTCAGCTGAGGCTCTTGCCATGCGGCCGCCCCAGCCCTCTCCGCCGAGCGGCGAAGCAGGGCATGACGAAGAGCATCGCGAAGTTCAGCAGAAGATATCCGAAGTCCTCCCCGGCCACGCGGCACATCGCGGCACGCAATGGGCTCGCGCAGCTGCTAAGCAACCGGGGGCCTCCGAGACCTTCTTCGAGAAAAAGGGCTTGTCGCCACCTCACAAAGAAGACAAGAGGAGCAGTCACTCGGACAACCATAAAATGATAAAGCCTTACATGGCAACCAAGCGACTCTTGTACGCACGCTCGGCAAAGACGCCTGAGGATGGTGTCGGCATTCCAAGGAGCTTTGCGAGACTGTGTCGTCTGAGTCTGCAACCACCAAGCACATTCAAGAAGATCCAGCCTGACAGGGCTGAAAGGCGTCACCTCTCCATTGGACTAAAGTGACCAAGGCGGCCTGCCAGCAGGAGCAGTCCTCAAACAGCTTCTTCTGCGCTTGTTGGTGTATCACTGTGCGGCGACATTGCTGAGAGGGTCCTCGAACATCGAGCTGATCGTTGTTGCCCTCGGTTCGCCGGCCCTGCTGCTCCTCAAGGTGGTGACACTCTATTTGTAGGATATTCGAGGCAAAGCCACTTGGCTTCCAGTGCCTTGCACCACATGAAGAAGAAGCAGCTGACGGCCACCGCGGCGATGGCCTGGTCAGGCTTATTCGAGGTAGTCACGAATATGAGTTCGCTGTTCATCACGTCATGTGGCCGCCTACATTGACAGGACGATTGGAAGTCATGACTCCGAATGAAAAACACTGGATGACCTGCAGCTCCAAAGCTCGCATCGACGCATCCAAGAATAACGCTGCGTCTAAGCGCTCTCAATGCTGGATTGCCCTGGGGAGGCTTCCCTCCTGCGACCATGTTTCGAATCTTAGTGTTAGTTCAGAGCTTTCCTGCCACTGCTCTCTGGAGTAGTGCCGCGACAGCAGGTAGGTGGAGACCAGTGCCACCAGCGGAAGCCGCAGCCTGAGCCACACTGGGCCCTCCCGGAGTGCCCCCCCCCCCCTCCCCCCCGCTGCGGCGGAATAAGTGTTTTTGCGTGACGGAGCTCTGCCCGAAGATCTTGATCGTCCCTGCGTTGAAGTAGCCGACGGCCTCGCAGAGAAGCGCAAGAGTGCCCGGACACTTCTCTGTAAATGCAAGCTTTCGCGAGGTTCCCAGTTCCGGGCCCGCATCTTCATGGACATCCCCACGCCAAAGAAAAGGCACACGGGGACGAACTCAAGGAACTTGTCACGATCCAGGCCTCAAGAGAAAGGCACATGCCGCCAACGAAAGCGGCAGCCTTCGGCTTGTGAAGAAAGCTCCCGTGTGCTGGGAGTTGTAGGCTTGAGCTGCGGCGGACTTTCCGAAGTGGGTCTTATTTGCAACCTGGCAACATTCCCAGACGGCGTCGAAGCCGCCCGAGCTCGCCTGCACTGCCAGGCCTTCGGCAAAAAGCAAGCAAAACAGCCAGCAAACGTAGCCAGCGGGCCATAGCAGGCCTACGATGATAGCCAGGAAGGGCTCGATCACGAGGACAGACTGTCCTCTCCGATGGCTACTGCTAGGGCAATTCCCCAAGAGCGTTGGAGCGGCGAGAGCTTTTGCGGCCAAGCAGCGGACGTATCTTTTGCCCTGGTCTCCCTGGCGCGTGCGCCCTTCGGCCCAGTCGATCACGAAGGCCTGGCCTGCTGCGTTCTGCTGCGTTCTGCGTTTTCGCTTCTCTCCGCTTCCCTGCCCCCGCGGCCTACGTCGACGAGGCCGAAGAGGAGGAGGAAGAGCCACTTCTGCCTCGCCAGATCCGGACAGCCCCTTTTTGCCCGCCACCCTCGTCGCGCTGCCCAGGCGCTTGTGGCCAGCAGGAGCCGCCTCTGCAAAAGCCTCAGTGGGAGACACACTCGTGGTACCACACGGAGAGGAAGCAGGGATCTTCCATTCATTCCATGGCAGTCGGAATGTGCAATCCTCATATTTTTGTGCACCGCTAACCGCTAGGGCAGCTTACGCCAACAATGCAAATGCGGAAGCGCTTACACTACCTTACGTTCTCCAAGTTTCTGCTTACGCGACATGTATTTCCGAAGCCCTCTGCTCTGTTTCTTCTATAGGGGTTTTGACCACCGCAGTTGTCGAGTGCATGTCGAAAATCCAAGCCAACGCCATCCACTTTTGCCTGGCAGTAGCAAACCACACGATGTCCTACCGGCACTCTCCACCAATTATGGGTCATTTCCCGCGCTTTTAGTGGTTGCACACCTTTCATGTGGAGAAGGCCACTTTACATCGCTCCGCTACTTCTCACCACCATCGGGGCCAAGCCCTGTGCTGAAAGGCACGGCCCAAAGTGACGACGGTGTTGAATCACATTGGATCTGGGACGAGGAACATTCGCGGGCATTCGTCGTCTGATTGCATCCATGTCAACAGGCCGAGGCCTGCGAGCATGCTCTCATCGGCAACACTCATGCGCGCTTTGGTTCTGTAGCCCATGTATTCCCAAAAGCTGACTTCGTCCGGCACGGACCTCAGAATGATCGCCTCCGCGCCTAGGGCGGTTGCTCTTTCCTCAACCTGCTCCGCGAGGGATCGACCACCCCCAATGCCACCAATGGCACGGGTCATCTCGACATATGCAGCCTTGGGACGACCATCTGCGTCGGTAAGGATTCGAAGAGCAACCGCGCCCAAGGGCTGAACAGCGCAATGAACCTCACATCCGTCACGAGAAATGTCGGGGAACCTTGCTTTCAGGAGCTGTCCACACGCTTCGGATATCGTCGGAGGCAGGCTGTCCTCGCTAAAAGCGAGCGTCGGAGTGCCTTTAAGCTCCATCATGGATGCACTCGCCTTCGCCAACTTCGTGCCCAAGCGGCGGCATGCCTGCAAGTCCTCAGCTCGAAGTTCCAAGAGCCGTTTTTGTTGCGCTTGCAGTGCCATGGTTTGTGTACGAAGCCAGTCCGTTTCGCCCGGAACGTACACCTCGCCACCAAGAAGTTGGGATTCCAAATCCAACTCTGGGGCTGCCACTGCGGCGGCTGGCTGCGCTGTCAAGCCCGCGCTCCCGCGTTGACTCGTTGGCCAACATCTTGCCCATGAGCGCACTACCACAGCCGCCACCACCACCGGAATCATCACCAAAAACAACATAAGGCAAACCAGAAGCGCATAATTTAGCCCCGCGTGATCTCCATCATGCCCTGCCTCGTAGCCAGCCAACAGCGCACGTAGTGCTTCTTCGCTCAACGGTCCATCTGGCAGATTAACCCGGCCAGGAATAAGCTGCGGCATGGCTTCAGGCCCGCAAATCGCAAATGACACGACCGTAAAGTTGACAGACT